CATGTCCAGTTCGCAACAAAGGCTTTCTGTTGTAAATTTGTCCCGATCAAATTGCATCTCATCATCAGGGTTATTTTCACCAGAGCCACATCAGACTTTATACAACTGCTTTCACAGACTGAGTGGCACTAACCATGACCAGTAATCTGATTTTTATGTTTAATATTAAGAGAGTTAACCACAAAAACACCTGTGGATCTCCAAGTATCCCAGCTCTCTACTCAGCTATGTTTAACAACAAATTGCCCCTGAGGGATAATAATGATGTCCCTGATCCTTATTTCTGGATATTTATTTTACTTCTGCATACTGTATATTGAAACATGCAATTCTTATTTATAAGTTATGTGTCTCAATATCTAGAGGATGGAATTATTTGTGCACATTGAGGGTATATTCCCAATATGCTAAAGGCAGTTTGTGTAAGTGTAACTATCAACGCAGTGACAATTTAACAACATGGTCTGCCAGTAGTAGAACTGTGGAACAAGTAAAATGAGCAGATGGTTGCACTGACATGCAACCATCATTAAATGAGACAACTATTTTGTGTGGCTGACAACAGCATACACACACCTTGCATGATCTAAAGTGATAAAATGTAACATGGCACACACCCATAGCTTCTCTGCAGGCCATGTTTAGGAAATAGTTTAGTTAGTACAGTAGAGAGCAGCTGTAGAAAACGATACAAAATTTAACACCCCGAGGCAAAATTCTAATCTGGGCTTTTCCCGTCTTAGTGTGCCCCATATTGGAGCGTTCAAGGGCCAGAAGGCAACCCCTAACAGCTTGCTGCTCACAGCAATATTGACTTCACATTTGAGGACAGTAGGACAGTGCCAGTGTATTTAGTGCCCCCAAGAGGCAGTTTGGTTTGCTGACAGTAGTCAAAATAAATAGCAATAAATACGCAATGAATAAAGAACACAATGGACCACTGTCACCGTGACCATTTGAGTGAAACCAATAAAAACAAGAGATAACCTGCTGTTACATAGCAACTAGTTTCAAAGGCCAGAAGCTAGTGGGATGAAGCACAAAACGCCCTGAGACAGTTTTCTCTTATACAGGTTACACTGTTCAGCTTGCAGAGTACTTTTAAAGAGCTTTATTGTTATCATAGCTAATGCATATCTACATGATTACATTTTCCTTGACGGATGTTTCTTTGATTTTTCACATACAAGTTGCTGGTGCAAATAATGGATTCTTCTCATTATCACATTATATGCGTTATTTTAGTCTTCATCTTGAATGTTTCTCCTCCTCCTCAAGTTATAGAAAAGCACCAGCAGGCACCTGTTAGGGTATTAGCTGCAATCTCATGAAGGAATTTACTAGAAACTAGATACAATTTAACTCAAAAACATGACAAAACTCACAAGGACTATCCCACCACAGAGAAAGATTAAATATTGATTAGCCACAGGCATGCTAAACATCAAGTAGACTTGGACAAGTACAAAATCGAAACACATTAAAGCAGCTGGTACACAGATATCACTATAAGATCAATACATATCCAGAATCTGAAAAGCAAAGAAGACAGTAGGATGGAATCTGACCTGGTCAACTAATTTTCCTCAAGAATATTAAACAAGGCCACTTTGTTATCTTGTGGAAATAAGTTGCAAAGAGCATTTCCTCTGACCCAAGAGTACACACAAACATGTAGTAGTCTCATGCATCATTCAAGGTTTCCTGCTTTTGCTTCACATTTTCAAGAACGAATCCATTTATGCTGTGGTGCAGTGTTATTAGTTTCGAAAAAAGTTTTCTTAAACCTGCATTGCGGAACTTTTGTCTCCCCCTCCTGGCAGTGAGAGTAATAACAAAAACACTATTAACGGGTGCTTATGAGACGTGCCTACACCAGCCTACTTCATCGCTATGGTTGCTCCCCCTTTCAGCTCTGGCAAACCAATCATTGCTGGTTGATGTAAACTCTGATATACTGCAGAATACAGAGAGATTTACAGGTGTGATGGGCTTAATCAACATTGTGTGAACTCATTTGGCAAGGGCTTGAATGTACAGGTGTTCATTTATATGTAAAAGTCCCACGCGGCACCTTTAAACCTGCAGTAACTGATTAGGCTATAAACATATTATCACGTAATAAAGTTGTGATGGCAAACCTCTTCGCAAATCCATGCCTATTTACACAAAGTCATCTTTCTGGCCACTTGATGAATATAAGTCCAATATTCATTCTCCTTTTAGCTCGTTTTTGGTCTCCACCAACTCCTGAGGGAAAAATGTGGCTCATTAGCTGCCCGGTATGCCTGGAAACAAAGGTGATGAGAATGAGACTGAACCAAAACAGTCAAGTTGCAAAGCAATGACCAGAAATATTCTAAAACACTCAGTAGCATCAAGGGTAACTGCAAAGTGGAGCAATAATAGTTTCTTAATTTGTCAACCCTTACACACTATAGGTAGACATTTTCTTTCATTATTGATATACAAATGTTTATTTGTGCATGTTAATTTCATACAAAACCTCAACCAACTCTCCACCGTTTAACACTAGCTATGGGAGCTTGATTAAGGAAAATATACAAAAGGCCAAAAAGCATATCAAAAGGGTCTTTAATCAGTCAGCCAAATTTCCATCAGGGTAGTTGAGGGTGATGAATAGTAAACTACAACTACTCAGCAACCATAGAGAATGTCTTGTGTCTGAGTCACCCTGGATGTAGACCCATGAATCATCCAGTTCCAATTTAATTATCATTTACATTCAATATCAACTAAAACATTTTAACAAGGGTCATTCTCAAACAACTGCAGTAGCAAAACAGTATTTTGCTCATATGTAACACAAGCTGGTCGGAACCAATTCAAGTGTCTGCAAGTTTGAAACTGGGACACACATTTTACAGAAATTTGGGAACGCAATTACACCCACGTTGAATCAGTGACAACAACAAGAAAGAGTGTTTTAAGCTCTACTTTCCCCCACTTTTATTGTGCACTATGTATTATAGTCAGGTGTTTCCTGGTTTGTTTCAGGAAAGAACTTTCATTAGCAACGACTGTTGAAAACGTCTGTAACAACCTAACTGCAAATTTAGATAATCACATGTTCAGTAAGCCGTGACAAGACTGTGTCCAGATTACATGACACACTACACTTAGAAAGGAATTGGAGGGACAGAGGGTGGACATAACAATACAAACTGCTAATTATGTGAACATTGGTGAATATGCCACATGGTACTTTTGGAAGAGCTTAAGATTTCACTCCAAAAGAAGGAATCCCTTCACGAAGAGATAAAAGAGGTAGCTAAAAATCTACTTGGAACATGGCATTCCAGAGATTTTGCTAGAAGGTTCAAAGATGTTTACACATGCTGTTAAGACATCTTATGAGGAACGTGAGACTTAATTTGGGGTGTCTGTGAAACTACACTTACTGCTGCTCGTATATAGAGCCTTAGTAATTGAAATTTAGTTGATTTTTAAAGCTGCAGTAGGTAACTTTTATAAAAAATAAGCTTTTGTCATATTTGCTGAAATTTTAACTGTGTTCTGACAGTAGAACATGATAGAGATAATCTGTGTAAAAATCTGGGTCCTCTGTCTCGTTCTAGTGGTCCTAATGGCATTTGCAAGAATCAACAGGGCTTGGATGAAAACAACCAATCAGAGCTGCGAAAGACAGAAATATGCTTTGGGTTGGAAGCTTGAAGATAATTGATTGTTGAGTCTAATTCACAGGGTCCCAAAGCATCTGTATTTATTGTCATGGGACTGCGCCTCAACAATCAATTATCTTTCTTGGCTCTGATTGGTTGTTTTAATTCAGGCCCAGTGGATTCTTACAATTAGGACTTATTTACCATTAGGAGCACTGGGAGGAGCCAGAGGAACCTAAACAATTCACAGATTATTTAATATAATATGACAAAAGGTTGTGTCCAGTCTGTATGTTATTCAACAACACTCTGCAACCTGTTGGGAGAACATGTGAGGACACAGATACAGAGAGGACCCTCTTCACCTGTGTGCATTTTGGAGCTTATAAGTGAGGAATATCAATCCTGCTCCATTTAACAAAAACCTACATTAACTGTACTGTAGTTCATTGATCAATTAATCATTAATCAAGACTAGTTGTTCACATCTACTGGGTGTGTGATGTATCTGTGTCAAGACCTTCCCTTTTTTTCTCTTCTCTTTCAGTCAGAGCAAATATGTACCAAAAAAGTAGGTTTCGTCAGTAAAACATGAAACCAGAAGATGTATTTTAGTAGCATTCGTGTAGCTACAGAATAGATCCAGAATGTAAACCAGGGATTCACACACATTACAGAGATTTAACCTCCTCTGAGGGTCCTCTCTGGTCCACTCCTGTCACGCATAGATCCAACAATCCTTTAGCTGCAGATTACACTGCAGGGATGAGTGGCCCCAGTGGGCTCCTTGCATCACGCAGGGATGCCCTCCTTATTCTGGGCCAGATGTTGTTAGACCATTAAAGAAGGCTGTGCACACACACACACACACACACACACACACACACACACACACAAACACACAGACCCACACGCTGCAAGCTTGCAAATTTAGTAATGCAGCAATTTATGAAACTGTGGTGATCTTAAGGGATTCATCGGCCTTTACACATATAACACAAATATAAACTGTTAAAACACCACATGCAGGCATATATCTTGGTAGCTTTAAACTCCCCTTTAATTATTCTGAATGAATATTATAAAATCTTCTCTCAGAAAATATTTCCAACAAAAGGATCTACTGCACGCACAACTCCATAAACGTGCCTTTAACAGTTGCAGATACAGCTGCTCCCGTCACGCCAGATGTGCAGTAAACAGTGTGTCTTTACTGCGGCTCTCATCTCTCTGACAAATGTTTATGTAAATGATGCCCCAAATTACAATAATACTTAAGGAAAAGCTCTTTTTCCTTTGGTCTCTGCAATCTTTTGACAGACAGGAAACTGAGTGAAGGCTCCATCAGTGACCCACCTTGACAGCAGAATGTCGCCCACAGGTAAAGTCCAATCAATACAGATCCAGCACACTTCCGAGGCTCCATGGCAGCGGCAGAGCAGAACTCCCTCTGTAGCCCGCTGGGGATGTCAAACTTCCAGGGAGTGCAGCTTTGTCAGACTGCTGGTGCTGGTGCTGCTCTTTCTCTCTCTCTCTCTCTCTCTCTCTCTCTCTCTCTCTCTCTCTCTCTCTCTATGTCTATCTCCTTGTGTTTGACTGGGCTGTGTGCCTCAAAAGTCACTTTGGATTGCGCTCTGTTCCCCTCTATCTGCGCTCAGATGTATTTTTATATCAGACATCTCGAGGTTGCCCTCCTGCGTGTTTCCTGTCGTATCCGTGAGCGCTGATGGTGACAGCCACCTGTCCGCGGGCTGCTCCTGCGCAAATGGCGTCAACTTCGTCAAGAATTGTCACCTCCGGTAAATTCTGGCTCATCCTCATCAGCTTTATGGGTGATGACTAATGCAAAGATGATCGTAATCCACGCAGGAATCTCCAACAGAGGGCGACATGACCCCGCCCACCCTTGACTTTGGCAAACTTTTTTTTAAATCATGTAAATGTTTATTTAAAACCTGCTTCAGGGTTTTGTTTAGCGCATGCTCAATAGTGCACTTGACAGCAGGGGTTTTGGTGCCAGCTTACTCCAGGGTGTTTAAGGAGTAGTGAACATGATCTCGCAGTTCCAACCTAAAATATGTGTACAGTGATCCTCTCATCCATGTCATCTTTTGAGGATGAGTCGAATGCAACTGAGCCACAATAAATCATTTCCTTTAAAAGTGCTTAAATTCAGTTGCAGTGAGGCTGAAAATGGAGTAATATCACATTGCTTCATTTTTCATTGTGAAATCTTAAAGCGTTCTCAGTCTCTTCAAGTATTCTCTTCCTGCACCTCCTCCTCCTCTTCTCTTCCTTTGTCTTCTTTTTCAGCACTCTTGTCCTCTTTTACAAGTAGTGTCAGCCACTTTTACAAAGCACACTCCTCTCTCACTATCCTCCCCTCTTTCACTGTCCTTTTCACCCTCCTATACCTCGCCACGTTTCCCCTGGAGCATCCTCGACTCTCTCCTCCCCTCTAGTTATCCTCTCCTCTAGCGTCTAACATGAATTGTTTAACTATTTATGAGCGGTAAGGACAGTTGGACAAAAGGGAAAGTGAAGTAGATCTTCATACCTGAATTAAGTTTTTAGCCACAAATGGTTGTTTGCAGAGTATGAAACAATAAATGATGTATCCAAACTTGGAGGCCCATTTATTTCAATGAAATAATAATAATAATTACCGAGCATTGACAAATGGTTCTTGTAGCCTATAAATCAAGTTCCCACGAATAATAATGTCTTTTCTCTAGCCAAGTCATCTGTTGCATACAGTACACACGGCACGAGAATAGTTCACGTACATCACAATTTGTATCTTGAAAGCATTAAATATTATTGATAATTGCCATTGATCCCAACTCATTAGCACATGAGCATTTTGTTCTATGTGGTAACAACCCTGTTTCCCTGTTAAATTGGGGGCTCAGCCTTAGAAACAAATTTTGCCCTTTTGCACCCCCATTTACTTTCTAATTGTTACAGATGCTGCTTTTTTTCCTAGTTATGTTTATTGAATTTTCATAAATTAATTAAGGGTAATTACATAAATAAGCATATTTGTATTCTGTTCTGCAATGTAGAAGAGGAACTACATAAAGTGCATGTTACCTGGAATGTTACCAGTGGTTTGATTGGCGGAGTGATATGATGAAAAGGAGTGTTCAGTTGTCCTACTGTTGAAACGGACATTAAAAGGGATCGAGTAACCAAGATGAGGTTGTCCCCGTGCTCTTGCTTTACCCACGACCTAAAAGGTAGTTAATATAGTAACTATCAAGTTATAGTTAACGCTAAGAGTAACCAGCGTTACATTAGTGTTTACAGATATCAGCCTGTATACTGTACATTTTATTACTAGAACATTTCTATGTTGCTGTGCTGAGCAAGAAGCATTTCTGAGTAGCAGCGGCACAGATGATGAATGAAGTTCACAACTTCATGTTAGCATGCACCGCTGAACGCCTCTTTAATCACTGGCAGCCGTCCAATGTGGTGAATTTTGGTGCATGTGGCCAGTTGTTTAAGCATATTGCATGACATAATTAGCTCTAATGAGACAGTCTGAGCTTCACTGTGGTGCTGTCAGCGGGAAGGAAAACATCTTCAGGGCACACAGTCAGCACACCTTACACGGCCATGACAAGAGATGGAGTATTATTGTGTGTTTACGTGTGTAGGTTTGTCTGGGAGTCAGTGTGAAGCCTCATTAGCTTGTATGGAGATGCTTCAAGTTGTTGGTTGGTGTGAAGCATTGATGATCTGTTTCCTGATCTATTAGCTTACTCACGTATGCCACCCCTGTCTTCTTTGAATCATTTTCTTAATGTTCTCCTCTTTTTGTTTTCTTTTTACTCACCCATTCACTGGTACACTTCCTCTACTTTTCTCCTTTTTTTTTTACCCTCTACCCATCTGCCATACCCACTCATTCCCTGTTGATCTTCCGTTCTGTCCTCTCTCCTCTCCTCAGCCTTCCATCTCTCTTCTCCCCCTCTGTTTCCTTTCTTCCATTTCTCTGTTCTGTACTCTTGCAGTCCTGCCTGTGAGCATCAGATTCAGTGATGTCCTCAGACCATTACGAGAGTGCCCGCAGCGCTTCTCCAGCTCTCACTATCTATCACTCTCGCTCTCCCTTTCGCTTTAGCCTCAGTGTGTAAACCCCCAGCTCCCCCGCCTCTTCCCTCCTTGTCTTTCTGTCTCCCTCTGGCTTCAGTCTGGACACAGTGTTGTACATATATGTAGACTGCCATCAGCTCACATTAAATAAATGTCCTTTTGGCTGAGCCTGCAGGGACTGGAGTTGGTTCTGTGTGTGTATTTGTGAGAGTGTGGGCTTATGTGTGTCCCAAATGCCTTTTTCTGTGTGTGCACCTGTTTATTTGAAAGAGCCCCCCCCCCCCCCCACCACCACCACACACAACACATTAACATACTGTAAAGCACAGTAGCCCCCAGCCCATGCCATAAATATCATGAACATATAAACAACATCACAAACATGATCATCGAGCATAAGGCTGGACATGTGATTTATGCTGAGGCTTATGCCATTGCATATGTCTCAGCATACTTCCCCACGTTAAATCACAGTGCACAATGTACTTTACATGTATGGTAAGAGTAGGGTAAAAGGAATGACGTGAATGCAACTACTGCCAAAGAAAATTTTAAAGCAAATGACAATGGGAAACAATGTGAAAGGTGTCTCATAGTGATGAACCTGCTGAGAAGTATCATCTGAATCAGCAGCTCCCCTCGGCTTTACAAAACGTTGAAGTGTCTTTCAGTTTGTTGTTCCAGTTCCTTAAGTTGTTTGCTGTATACATAAGCAACCGTTTGCTAAAAAGTTTGCCTTTACCACTGATTTTGTGGCATCTAGCAGTAAAGTTGCAGATTGTAACCCACTGAAACTGCTCACCTCAACCAAGGGCACTTACTCTTTAGCAACTAAATGCTCTACTTTGTTCACCAGCTGTGGTGCTGGGGCAATAGCATATCATGAGAATGGTGAGAGTGAGAACAGTAAAGTTAGTTTACCTTAACTTTACTGTTCCTAAGCCTAAAAGAATGAGCTGAAAGATGCTGAAACGCACTGTAGAGCGGAGATCGATTTTGGGTAATAATACTTTGTTGATTCCTCTTTATGACACCTTTTACATTACTCATAGTCATTTTTTCTTTTTCACATAAACTTATCCATTAGTGTGACTTTAAATCCAGAAATGAATCTTTATAATCCACTATGCTCTATTCATGTATGCAAAATACTAATGTGACCTGTGCCATAGATACATTTACTTACACTAGAGTATGTGCTGTACCCTTATCTTAAAATCCATAACCATTAGCACAGTCAGTGTGCCTCTCACAGCAGTGCAAGAGCTAATCCTCCTTCAGAAACCTCGTCCTTTGCCTCTTCTGTATACATTTCTTCATTTCTCTTGTCTAAGTGAGCAAAAAAGAAACATTAACCAACACCTTTCACTCTACTGTCTACACTCATGACAGAAGAAATAAAAAGTAAAGGTCATGTTCAAATTGGGAATTGTTTTCCCTGAAAGGCAAGATCACACCTTAAGACCAAGAAGCTGAGGTGAGCCCCAGAGCTTGTTTTGCAGCACCTACAATGACCTTTTCACAGGGTTATAGTGCTACTGGCAGTCTTAGTCATGTAGTCTCACACACACATAAGTACACATAGCTTGTACACAGTATGTGATGTTATAAGGGATAACATAGGTGAGATACAGTCATCTTGTTGCTTTGGTCTCTGGCAGTACAATCAGTAATTGGATTCATGATCAGCTATCTGCCAGAGCTGCTTGCAACCACAGAGCCAGCACCCTACCCTATAATTCCCTCATGATGTACAACCTGGAGTTGCTTCATTAAGAATGTAGGTGAGACTGACCTCGTGAACAGTATGATTCAGCCTTTCCATTCAGATAAGCTTCAGTTCAAAGCGGTGATAACAGATGTGAAGCAGAAAATTTAGTCTTTCTATATACCAAGAAGTACCCCAGAGTACTCCCATGATCACCATTTCAATCTTGTCTTGTCCATTGCCTCTGGAGCTGTACATTAGTGTCAGAGAAAATAAAGTATGCACTTCCCAAGTCACTAGTAAACAAAGGAAAAACTGTATACTCTCTGAATGTTGCTCAGCGTGGGCTTTTATTGTGTATTTCAAGCTTGTGTCTCTGTCAAGTAATGCCACGACTTTAAATTATATATAGCTGACATGTGAATGCAGATCAGGTTGGATTCAGACTGTATAGGAATTATTAATTTAAGTTATATGCTTTTTGTTAAGGTTAGGGTGATATGAGGTTTTGATAGTGACTCAAATAATTTTAATGTAGAAAATGCATTATGATTTACAGCCTTTTGCTCTTTTATACTAATAACGGATGTTCTTTTTTATACAGTTGAGTAGCAATAAATTATGAATTTCCCAGCTGCACAAGAGAATGTAAGTACATGAAATATGGTTTTGCTGCAAAGAGTTCTATTCAAAATATTTTTGTGTGTTACATATGGTCTCAGATTTTTCACCATCCAAAGACCTGAAAGCCTGAAAGCTTGTTTATTTATATGGAATCCTGAGGGGTTCGCACCCTGTTCTGTCACTGTCTGTCTGTGTCACACACACACACACACACACACACACACACACACACACACACACGTGCTATGCTCCTATCGTGTACTCTTATTTTGTCTCGCCCAAACACACAGATGCACACACACACACACACACACCTGTCTGCCTGAGTCAGATCTGTAGCGGTGAATAATAGAAGAGTGGGCTGAGGTCAGACTGTTCAAGTGCAGGGGAAACAGGGGGGAGGCTTTCATTTAAGCATGCCAGCCATTTTTAATAAGTCAGAGAACAAAATCATGTCTCCAAAAAATGTAGGCCAAAGCACAAAACACTATGATATCACCGGGGACTGCCACTTGTTGACAATATTTGGTGGGTGACAAAAGCCGAAAGGAAAGTTACAGCAGCCAATAACTGGAAGGTCGGACTAAGATCTTAATTCTGTTGTGTCCTCTCCTTGTACAGGAGGTAGAGCTGTCGTCTAGTTATCTGATTCAATCAGTGATTGAGATAAAGGCTAGATAATAGAGTAGGAAAGGACAAATTAATTCAGTAAATGGCTTGGTAACCACAAAATGGTTGCAAGCCTTAAGTGGTCCATGTATAAAATATCAAACATCCCAAATCAAATGTGGGCAAAATGTGGTCCGATCCAAAAGACGAGCTACTGTAGCTCAAACTGCTGAAAAAGTAACATAACATAAGTACATAACATTATGACCACCAGGATGCCCGGGTGGTCGAAATGTTAAGGTCGATCTTTGTATGACCC